AGATTTTGCTCCTCATCTGGTTTATTCTCTGAAATGGTTTTAACGGGTTCATTTAAATCAATCTTTTTTGCTGCTTTTGGCTTTGCAGGAACATGTTCTACCTTACGTACAACTAAAATTGTGAGAAAGTATTTTTAAAGAAAATGTTAAAAATAACAAAAATTAATTTCAGTATGTACTCACTGGGTAGTAATTTTTTTGAGGAGCTATTTATGCCTCTTAATTGACTACGATCAGTTGATTTTGGAAAATCTGTAGGTAACAAAATATTTGTTTTATCTTCTGCTTTTGGTTCGGTTTTACCTGGTGTAGTAGTTTTGCCATAAAAATTTATTGATTTCAAAGCCTTTGACGGAACACCAGCTTGTGCATTTCCATTAAATTTAAAAGGTGCAACTTTCGATGCAGCTAGAAAAGAAAAAGTAATATATAAAATAAATATATTATGTTAATGTATAAAATATTCTTACAAGGTAATGTTTTGACACCAGAATTTATCAAGTTCTTTGCTCTCTCCGTTTTCCGTGTTACGTATTCAGTAAGGTTTTCCATTTTATTAAACTGCTTTTGATGTATTGCAGCAAAATTTGGCAATTTTGTAGCTTTTTGCATAATTTTTTGAGGAGTAGAACGTGTGCTCGATGCAGTATCAATATCTATAAAATTAAATAAATTGTAAAAGTAGAGTTAAAGTAACTTGAAATATGAATATTTGACATAAATATTATATATTTTATCAATTTTTTTTAAAGAAAAAAAATGAATACATGAATATATTTAAATAAATGTACATTATATATACTTTTTATTTACACTGTGTATATACCTCCTCGGGGAGGTGTGCAGATCTGAGGTAAATTATTGCTTAGTCTGATGAAGTGATAAACAATAATCTAGTCAAGGTGTAGAGAGGGGTTTTGAAGAAACCTCGAGTTAAAAAAGAGTATAATTGCTTAAGTGCACTAGCTCAAAACAGCTTCAACATAATAATAAATATATACATATCTACATATACACTAACTTGCATGTTATTTCATATATACCAACCTGGCTTAGAAATTTTATTTGGAGTTGGTTTTGACTCATCATTATCATTGTTTATAGATGTTTGTTTCATCTCATCAAAGGAACGCTTTCGACGTTTAATATTAACATCTATAGAAAAAGAAATTAAAATATACAAATTAAATTAAAAAAATGAAAATGAAAAAAAAACAACTTACGACTTTCATTTTTCAACAAAACCTGCTGATCTGCATCCTGTTTTTTAACGCTTTTATTAATGATTTCATCAATGTCAGCAATTTTCGTTATTCTATTATCAGCGCTGTTAAATGTAACAGCCTTAGCTTTCAAAATCTTTTTCTTCTTTGCTGAAATATAAGTTTTTGTAGATTTTGGAGTGCATTCTACCTCTTCTATAGCAGACTTGACAAATTCCTTGCCTTCAGATTTTACTTGCTTTTTATCAAGAGATTTTTCAAGTAGTAAATAACTTTTAGAATATGGGGTAGGGTGTGGATTATAGTCGTTTCTAAGTTTAGCCTTTGGAGTTTCTAATAATGTTGGCGTTTCTGTTACAGTATCAAGTGGAATGGCCAAATCCTTGTTTTCATTAGAAGGGCTTTCATTTAATGTAATATTTTTATTAACTGAAGTAATTGAAGTATTCTTAACAGGCGTGTGTATAGAGTCCTCATCATCTGATATTACTAGCAGTGGAATAAAATTTATATCTTCATCATCTGTAAGATCGAATGTTTCCACACTATTGGACTCTGTTTTTGCTATTAAAACAGACTTGCCAAATGAATTATCAATCTTATCAATGGTAACGTTTAATTCATTTTCTTTAGTATTCTCTGATGAATTTTCATTGATCACTTTTGGCAAAGTGTCTAAATTTTCAAATTCATCATCAGCTGATATATGCTTAATATATGGCTTCTGTACATTTTCAGTTGATTCTTGTTTTGCATCATTTGATACCTTGTTGCTAGATTTGTTAATAACCTCAACATTATCGTTATTATCTGTATGACTATCAGAGTCTGTATTGGTTTCCATTGATAAATTTGCCATTTTCAAATTTAACTCTGAATTTTTTTTAGTATGTTTCTTAACTTTTTTATTATTTTTTTTATTAGATTTAGAAACCAAAGGTGTAACACTACTGCGTACTGTTGACTTTCTACCAGAGCTCTTTACCTTTTCATTAGTTACGGCAGCGAGACTCTCTTCAATACCAGCATTTTCTTTATGCAAAGTGAGTTCCTCATTTACAGTGCCCGACGGTGTAAGAACCTTGGCAGGCATAGAATTCTTACGTATATTTTTAATCTTCGTTTCATTAGTAGAAATTTGTGGTAATAATTCAGTGATGTTTGTATTAGAACTTTGAACGTTATTCTCTTTATTTGTTGCATTATCATTCACATCATCTTTGTCTTCACCATTATCAACATCTGCTTTAACTAGTACGATTTTCAAATTAAAAAATAAAAAATTAAAACGTTAACTAGTTACTTACCTTCATTATTTGTTTCAAAGTTCAGTTTATTTCTTAATCCTTTACTTGCAATTATCTCGCTATAATCTAATTTTCTCGAAATTGTTTTACGTCCGCTCCTTGATATGTTTTTCATATCGGAATTCTCCAGTATTTCAGTCATTTTAGCAATGCTCGATGAAGGAGTTGCAGTCTCCACAAATTCCGTAGTTATTTTTGATGCTGCTCGAGTACTTCGTCGTACTGATGGTGTATTTTTAACTGAGTTTTGTAGTTTCTTTAAAATAGACAATTCCAAGTTAATTTCATCAGACACATTTTCTGCAACCTCACTCGACCCGCCTGCATCTTGGGCGTTAAGTACTGTTTTACGTCTTCTAGATGACTTGCGTTCACCTAATGATTATAAAAATATCATTATTTAAAACAGTTTATTTATTTTTATAAAACTCAAAACTATATTTGCTACATTTTTTTTTATTCTTACTTTCATTATTTTCATTAGAGGTTGCTTGCATATTGACAGACTTGTGGCGTCTCTTCGCAGAATTGCGTTTACCTGCTAAAATTAAATAGAATTTATAACATTTAACACTTTTTATTAAACAACACAGTATTAGCACTTTTTTCATATATATTTTAACGTACCAGAACCCATTTTCTTAACAATAAAATTAATTTTTAACTTATCGACAACAGTTATGGCGACCGATCCGGTTAAAACATACAAAGTATAACGCTGCTATGTTTTTGACCCTACAACTGCCATTATTTTTAAATTTTGACATATCTCAAACACACATGGTTGCATTTTGAATTTAAATAAACCATTTAGATTCAGAAATTTAATTAATAATTATAACAATCTTTACTTAACTTTTAACATTAGTACAATTTCTAAATACATTTAGAATTATATTAAACTATTGAAGTTTTAAAATTTATAGTAAAATATTCTATATGTAGCAAAATTTGATACCTAAGCATACTAAAGCATGATATAGAGGATGCTAAATGTATTCACAAGTATACAGACCAAGTATGCGCTTTGCTATACACTTTGAAACAAAGTGTAATATTATCGCATATATGCCTGCAGATCGAAATTTGGTATGCACACTTGAAAATACCCAGTGCGATTTGGTAGCACGGCATACTTGGTTTGTATACATGTAGCATCGTCTATATCATACTTAGGACGTGTGCGAGTTAGGCTAAGTTGATGCTAAACCAAATGGGAGATTTTTTGGGATTTTTTGCACTGCACACATTTTGCCATTTATCAACACGTATCGACACATCAATACATTATCGACACAACTTAGAATTTCCCTCATTTAGAATGCAACTTAGCCTAACTCGCACACGACCTTAATATACCACACAAAAAGGTAATTTGCTTTATGTATTATTAAATTCGAATTGTCGAATCAGTTGTCCTTTATTTGTACATATTTTAATTTACTTTTTGACTTATTATTTTAGTATATGTGCATTTTTGAAATTGCGCCAAAAACGCTACAACTTGCCTATAAAAAACGTGATCACAATTTCTCTATTTAAGATTTAAACACCAACATTGTAGCAGTTTAGAAGTAGCATGCTAAATAAAAATTACTAAGGCTTACAAAATTCTTTTTGAAAATATATTCGTATTTTCTGTTCAAATGTTCTTTCGTACAAAATTTCGAAAATTTCCACTTAATTCTAATGTTATGATTATTTGACTTACAAAAACTAAAGTAAATAAACTTAATAAAATGTATTATATAAATACTAGACTACAAAAAAATTAAATTGTTTGTCGTTGCGAAGAAAAATGTTTTTAATTTAAAATTATATAACAAATATTTGGTTGTATTAACAAATATTTGGTGAGTGCATATGATTTCAGATTGTTTGCAGCAATGAGACGCTATCCTACTTTGCTATCCTACTCTATTTGTAAAACACTAAACTGAAAAAACAATACGTAAACAAAATGATATATTTTTTAGTGTAAGAATCTGTAACTCCAACCTGAGCTAATCTGCATGTTAATTAGACAACAGCTAGTTCGATAATTTCTATTTAGGTCGTGTGCGAGTTAGGCTAAGTTGCATTCTAAATGAGGGAAATTCTAACTTGTGCCGGTAATGTAGTGATATGTCGATACGTGTTGATAAATGGCTAAATGTGTGCAGTGCAAAAATCCCAAAAAATTTTCCATTTGGTTTAGCATCAACTTAGCCTAACTCGCACAAGTCCTTAATAATATAGAAAATCCACCTTATTTTGGCATGTTAATTTGTTCAAGTCACAAATTTAAACGTTTTATATATTTAGCACGAATTTAGCATGCTCAATTGTTGTTGTGTGAGCAACAAAATTATGAATTCATATTAATTGAATTTAAAGATTTCACTGAATACCCACAATACATTTTGACAGCTGTTAATGTGAATATGTCGATAAGGTAGTTTTATTTACATTTTGCATTGCTCATTGAAATTTTTTTGAGAGCAGTGCAATAGTCATTGCAGAGAGATTGTGTGGGGAGGTTAATAGCAATTAATTAAAAGCAATATAATTTTAATAAAATATGTAGTGTTTGTTAATAATTTGTTAAGGTTAGTATATTAATTTAAAATTAAAAAAAATTTAAATTCTATTAAAAAATAAATAACATTAGTTATCCATAAAGTTAAAAAACCTTGAATTTGGAGGCTTAAATGTAAACAAATTCTTGAGTTTTTTTTTTTGAACATTTTAAAAGTATATTTTTAATTTTGAAGAGAATATTTTTAAATTAAACAAAAACATTAAAAACAGCTGATTCCATGTTTCTTGTGTGGCAGGTTAATTTGCAATATTTGGTATGCAAAAAAAAAAAAAATACAGAATTAGATCATAGCCGAAATTACAGGCGCACATAGTAAATTTACAAATTGTGTAAAATTAAGGGCATGCTTTTAAAAATATCTGTAAAAATTAATTTGTAAATTTTGTTTTTAAATATACTTACTAATTTGTTTTTAAATATAATTTTTTATTTGTTTTTAATCAAAACATTAAAATAAATAGGTTACACAAATATTTTACAGGTTGAAATTGTCTAGTAGCAAGTGCGCGCAATATGGGCAAAGATCATGATTTACTGGAAGCATCGCGTAATGGGAACATTTCATTGGTAGGAAAAATTTTGGATAGTTTGCGCAAACGCACAGGTCCTTTATCAAGGTAAATTGTGAATATTAAAATAATATATTTATATATAAATAATATTATTTTTTTTAATTGTTATAGTTTCAGACGCGGTCCTAGTGTAAATGCTCAAGATGTTAATGGATATACCGCATTGCATCACGCTTGTTTAAATGGACATAGTAATATAGTTGTTTTATTATTGGCATATGATGTAATACCAGATGTACCTGATATACGTGGGTCCACTCCTTTGTACCTTGCCGCTTGGGCTGGCCACCATGATATTGTCAAAATATTATTAATGCACACAAATAAACCTGCAAATCCCAATGCACAAGTATGTTTTACACGATTTACTATAAAATCATAATTTTAACTATTTTATTTATATAGACAATAGATAATGAAACGCCACTACATTGTGCTGCACAACATGGACACAATGCTGTCTTATCAATATTAATTTCATATGGTGCCGATCCGACTATAAGGAATAAGAGTTTTCAAACACCACTCGATCTTGCTGCACAGTTTGGACGTTTGCAAGCCGTACAAATACTTTTGCGTATGCATCCTGAATTAATTGATCCCTATAAAAATTGTGCTAAAAATATAGAGATATCTGCTGCCAACACACCTACGAAACTTACATTCACACATACATGTTTACATCTTGCTAGTCGAAATGGCCATAAAAAAGTCGTGGAGACACTTTTAACAGCTGGTGTTGATGTGAATTTGTTAACTCATGCCGGCACAGCTTTGCATGAAGCTGCGCTATGTGGTAAAAAGTCTGTTGTTTTAACTCTACTGAAGGCAGGTATAGACCCAAATGCAAAGGATGGGAATGGACGTACAGCATTGGATTTATTAAAAGTTTATCCACCACATGTTACTTACGAAATTGTTACTGCCATACAAGGTTTGTTATATATATAATTTATTCTCAATTATAAAGTTATTTATATCGGCTAACTACTTAAAATTTGTTTTAGATTTTTGTAAGAAACGCACAATTGAAAATGAAAACAATAATAATTTGAACCAAAGTGATGATTCAATGCGGGATAAATCCCATACAATGCCAAGAACTTTGTACGAGAAGAACTCTAATATTGCGAACAGTAATGGCAATAGTAAATTTTTAACAACAAATATTTTAGTTGGAAAAACGTAAGAGAATATATGCTTTAAATGTGCAGAACTTCAAGTAACATCACACACCTACATTTTACTACATACATTATTAAATGTACATGTAAAACACATCAAAAACACATTTACATCATATCTTTGTTATCTCTCGATGTTTTAAAAGTTATACATTTTAAACACTTCCTGCATTAACTGACTAAGAAAATATCTTTGTACCTGTTTATACTGTGATATAATTTATTTGTTTATTTATAAACAACATATATGTATGTATATATATAAATAACTGTTTTACTTACTGTCATTAATATTAAAATATATTTTTAAATATTGTAATTAAATGTTTAGATATTACTTTGTGTTGTACTAACATTCTACGTCGAAAGAAAAAAAAATTATATGTAAACCTATTAATTATATTCTCTCACTGTATTTGTCTAATATAACAACTGTTTAGGAAATGCCATTAGCTCATATATCACTAACAATGAACCACCAAACCACTCTTTCGTTTTCAGTACTTCATACGCTTACACATATCGACACTCATGTTTCATAAAACACAACAAATCGGTATAATAAAAAAAAATATTTATATAAATATCAAATTTCATATTTGCTTGCTTTGCATTTGCGCAACACACAATTGGATTTGTTAGCTTTTGGAAAATATTTATAATTAAAATTGGATCCATAAATATCAAGCTCGATCTGGTACTCATGTGTTAAATAAAACTTAATTAAAATCTGCATCGACCTCTCATCCCGCTATGCTTTTTTCGTTTGACTAAACTCATTTGATATTATTATATTATCTTGATAAATAATGCAACTATATTGTATAGTATATATAAAAAATCTGCAGAACATTTCTAAAATCTGAGGAACTAAAACTGCAGACTGTGTTACAATTGTTGTTGTAGCCGTAATGGCAATCCTACCATATTTTGTTGGCGTAGCAAGCTAAAACGAAAAGCTATATAGGTCGTATGTGAGTAAGGCTAAGTTGAGTTCTAAGGACGTGTGCGAGTTAGGCTAAGTTGCGTTCTAAATGAGGGAAATTCTAAGTTGTGCCGATAATATAGTGACGTGTCGATACGTGTTGATAAATGGCTAAATGTGTGCAGTGCAAAAAATCCCACGAAAAGTCCCATTTGGTTTAGCATCAACTTAGCCTAACTCGCACACGTCCTAAATGAGGCAAATTCTTAGTTGTGTCGATTATGTAGTGATGTGTGGATACGTGTTGATAAATGGCTAAATGTGTGCAGTGCAAAATATCCCAAAAAATCTCCCATTACGGATACGGATACATTAAATTTTAGCAGTATTAAGGACGTGTGCGAGTTAGGCTAAGTTGATGCTAAACCAAATAGGAAATTTTTTGGGATTTTTTGCACTGCACACATTTAGCCATTTATCAACACGTATCGACACATAAATACATTACCGGCACAACTTAGAATTTCCCTCATTTAGAACGCAACTTAGCCTAACTCGCACACGACCTAAGAGGTCATATATATATTTAGGATAGATACATTAACTTAAATGGGTATGAATGTAGAGAAAAATGTAGCCAATTAATTAATAACTTCAATTGGGCGCTAATTGATACGGATGACTTCTAGCGGAATGAAGAAGAATTCATAAATTTCTACGCGAAAACGTTAAGGAATCGTGTCGTCAGACCTGCAGCAAAAATTTACTTTCAGGGAGTTTTAGATAAAATGTTGAATCGACTATGTTTTTGTTTGCAATTAAGTCATGGCATGATGTATTGAGAATATATAGATATATCCATTCGATTCAAAGAGGGTGGCATGTAGTCCTTGATACGTTCCTGCTTTTCATCATAAAGAAACGAAGTCATAGATAAGTTAGTGTATATATGTAGAGGACTACCTTAACAAATAATTACAATAAACCACTAAATGTGGATAGGAAATGGTTTTGGAGAAAGTTTGAACAAATTAAGCGAGAGAGAGAGAGATGGTGTATATAACTTAGGGATATTAAAAACGATCGTAAAAATTAATAATAAACGAGAGGAAGAAAAAAATTTTGATTTCAATTGTATTAGAATAGTTTTTTTATCCAAAAAAATAGGCCTTCTTCTTTGTAAATGCTAAGAGAAAATCTGACACGAAGTAATCGTTTACTTCCTTACAGATGTAGACGGAAAATCTTTCAAATTTTTAAAACAAATTGAGAGTGGAGATCACTATGGAATCTCAAAGGTGTTAGTTGGTTATGAAGAAAATAAAGAAAATATTCTGATTTTCTCTATCTGAGGTAGGTTAAGTAAAAATCTTTAAAAAATATTAAAACAAAATGACAGAGTCTGTTATGAAACTGGAATATATTATTCGATCATTTCATCTGCCTCAACACAGTTCTTGCAACTTGAGATACTCTTCCTACTTTATTGTATTAGCTTAGTTAAAATCCAATGAG